CAAGGAGTGGTGCTGTGATATACCCTATGGATACATTTCTGGATGCAAGCAATGGACATTTAGCCTTCAGGTCACTAATAGACAATATGATAAAACTTAATTTATTTAATTTCTTTGGTATAGTTCATCTCCCATTTTTATTTTATTTTCTCAGCTATAACAGGTTTTTCTATATTTTTTTTTCTTCTTCAATTGTGTTAATCCTTTAAGGATAGAGTCAATTGTTTCTGAACCACAACAAAACCTAGAATTCCTTGTGTTTTTTCCACCATATTTAAGTGTTTCTTCCCTTAAAGGGGTGTATCCACTCCATGGTAAGTTCATTAAGATGGGCCGAAATTAAAAAATAAAGCATATATTACAAAAATTTCATCCTTGTCCTGGAATTGTTCAGGGTTATGTGATTTATATACATGATTTTAGCTTTCCACACAATAAGTTATCGTATACCTTCATCCAAGAATTCCATTGTAGCCCTAATCTATTTGTCATGGATTTATACCTGCAGGTGCATTATATGGATTAGGTAGTGGACATCTTTTTTACCTGTTGGATTCTTTATTTGATTTGATTAACTCGCTCACACCAAAATGTTAGGTCACATCATCATGTTCTAACATCATTAAGGCCAATGCTTTGTAGGATGTATTGACACATGCTTAAGCCTTAAGAGGCTAATATGGAAGACGTCACTTAGATGTTCAGTGTGACAGTAAGTTTCATGTCTATCAGTGGACTTATAAGTTTTGCTTTTTATTTAAAAACAATACTATTTATCTTTATTTTGCATTTGTTTGCGATTTATTATGTGTTTGGATCTCAAAGACACCATATCTATTTCTGTTATTTGACATGTACACATGATGTATGATTGAAGCTGAGGCATTGCTTCTGCACTTTAATTTGCTAATATGCTAATACAAAGACCATTTGCCATTTATCCTGATGACATGCTCTCCATTTTTGGATATTTGTATGCCTCAATTGGCAGTTAAAGTACTCTAATCTTCCCAGTTAAAGAGAAATTAGATTATTAAAATTTTTCTTTCAATGTAAGTAGCACTTAAATAATTATCAGAACCAAATTTTGACAACCAATAAATAAACTAAACTCAATCCAACACTTTTTATATATATGAGTAATTGTACGTTTTTACTTAATATGTATATATACTTAATTTTATTATGACAATATAGCAGCTACAACACTGAGTGTGAAATCCTGTCAAAACACACAATCCCGTACACAAACAAAAAAGACAGTGGAGCGCTTATCTACTTTTCAGAGTACAAATTCATACAGGCAAAAACCCGTGAGAAATACAATATCACTTAACTTTTAAGTGTTCCAGCTTGACTAATCCCTTTATTTACACATTTAATAAAAATAGAATATATATTGTGTAAAACCACAAAAGGTTATGTGACTTATATAGAAATAATGGAACACTCACATATTCCAGAGCTATAAAAACCTAGCTGTGGTATAGAAGGCTTGTGGGTCCATTATGGGCGACCCCTCCCCTCTTCCGTGGGGTAAATTCCAAATATGCAGAGTTATCTCAGGAAAATAGAAATGAAAAGTATAGTATAAATCCGTTTGATATACAGAGATAAAGTTGCTGATTCTGATATAGTCACAAGTATAGAGAGAACGCATTTCACCGTTCTCTCTGCTTCCTCTCTGCTTCATTGAACAAGTCTGAGGAAGCAAAGAGAACGGTGAAACGTGTTTCTTACTACATAAGACTTGAAGTATATATTGGTATTTGTATTTCCAATTTTATTGTTTTTATAAAATTATTAATAAAATAAATATATTGTAATACCTATCTGGATTCCTGCCATACTACAGAAGGGAGCGTAGTCCATAACTACACAAAGTCGTTTTACTGAGCCAGGTCACAGGCTCTATACTTGTGAGTATATAAGAATCAGCAAATTTCCTCTGTACCAAACGGAATTATACTATACTTTTAATTTCTATTTTCCTGAGATAACTCTGCATATTTGGAATTTACTCCATGTAAGAGTGGAGGGGTCGCCCATAATGGACCCACACACCTTCTATACCAGAGCTAGGTTTTTATAGCTCTGAAATATGTGAGTGTTCCATTATTTCTATATAAGTCACATAGCCTTTTGTGGTTTTACACAATATATATTCTATTTTTGTTAAAGGTGTAAAGAAAGGGATTAGTCAAGCTGGAACACTTAAAAGTTAAGTGATATTGTATTTCTCATGGGTTTTTGCCTGTATGAATTTGAACTCTGATAAGTAGATAAGTGCTCCACCATCTTTTTTGTTTAAATTTAAAACTTAATACATTTGTATCCAGCAATACTTTCTTCAAATTAAAAATAAATCTAAAATATGTTGTAACCAATGTATTAATAGCATATAAATAATTTACAGAAACATCATGGTAAATATTACCAAAGTTCACCCTCTACATTTCATTAAACTATGTTGTTGAGAACATGCAAGAGTTGAAAAATCAACAGCTGCTTCTATAGAAAACTAACAATTATTATAACAATGTATTACGTTAATGTTCTAAGAACATTCTGTGTTTTTATTTTTTATTTTTTGTTACAGCTCCAATGGAAAATCTGTTACGTGGGCACAAAATGAGAAGAGCAGCAGGGGTCACCATCTTTGGCAGCGTCTGTCCGTCCACGTCAAGAAAAAGGACAGTACAAACCAAACTGCTGTCATCAAACCCTTTTCAAAAGGAAGCACAGAGAATAGATATATCAGCACTTCCTTTCCTGACACTGGTGCCAAAATGCTCTATGATGTTTCAGAAGCGGAGGAGCATTATCCAGTGCAGTACAGACCGCAGACTCCCTCACCTATCAATACTGTAAGCCAGAGAGCTGCTTCAGTAAATCGTACAGATGAAGATATACCTTCCTTCCACTCCGACACTGCACAACGAAGTGGTTCTTCTCAAGGGTCCTTGATGGACCAAATCAGTAATGTTGTGACTCGTTTCACCGCCAACATCAGCGAGCTCAATTCCATGATGCTGTCAGCAAACACGCAAGGGTCTTTGGTGCCCACACCTCTTTGTTCTTCCTACCTGATCCCAAGAGAAATCCAGCTACCCACAACTATGACCACATTTGCAGAGATCCAACCGGCCCCTGCAATCGAATTTAACGGTGGGTCACTGTCTGCCAGAAAACCCTCTTCTGACAGCATCAAAGATAGCACCTCAGAGGCAACAGTAGTAAGACAAGATATTGAGGAGTTGGTAGCTTTAACTCCTCCATCTCCTTTTAGAGACTCCATTGACTCTGAAGGCAGTTCCCCTAGCTCCCCTGTGTCAGAATCAGCTCTATGTAGCCCATCAATTCCTAAATATGACAGTATGATCCTGAGAGATTACTCTCAGAGTTCCTCCTCATTGTGAATGTATTTCAAGAGTTTGTTGGATATTAACAGCTATGTACACAAGTTGGGGGGAGGCACACAGATATTGTTTGCACAAACATTATATATCAATCCCCCCCCCCCCGTGTTAGTAACTGATGCCTGTCAAACACTTCCAACAAGGCAGTAGCAGATTATTAATCCCATTTTAAGATGTAGAGCAGATGTTGAGCTAGTGGCCTTAGACAACATGGTCTTTTAAGAAACACTGCTTACACTCGAGGGCTTATATGGAGTCTATATATATATTATATAGAGTACACAAGTATGTATCAAGTGCTTTGATTTTAGTTTAAATTGGTCTGTTTGTACAGATTTGTGAACAGAATGGATTGTAATCACCTGTAAAATCTATTGTTTGTTTACTTTGATTTTTTTCCCAGAAGTGAACCTTGATCTTTTGTCAAGATTAGAAGACCAAACATGAATGTACACTTTCTAAGTGACTCAAAAACTGGGACCAAATGGCAGGCATTTTTCTATGAGGAGACTAACAAAACAAATGGCAGTAACACAACAAAATAACTATCAAATCATCTCAAAATGTATCACATGTCTGATACACAACTTGACTAGATGACGCTCTGCAGTAAGTGACTGTACTCTTTAGGGCTTAACGTGCAACGCGGTTTATGAAGATGTATTTTGTAATTATTGATCATTCATTAACTTGGAATCAGTTATCTGCTGTTCCAAATGCGGGACTTGGATTTGTTAGCAAGAAAATTTGCCGTCTATTTCACCGTGTTGCCGACAATACTGGAGTAGCAAAAAAATATTTTTTGGAGTACTGTTTTGTATTTTCCCTTATAAGGGCAAATTGTTTTGGTGAATATATAATATTTTTAGCAACATTGTTTAATTGAGGTGTAACTGCATCCCTGTGAGTCGAATGCTTTTGTTTTAATTTTATTTTTTAAACCTATCTGCGTTGTTTTTTTTTAATTGAAAGAACTAATTGTGTTTAATTGCTTTTTGCATGTAAAAAAAAAAAAAGAAAATAATATATATATATAAAAAAGTGTCTCAGTGCTATTCCAATAAACGCGAAGTACTGGGAATGTTATGAATATTACTTTACTGTCAAACTCTTAATTGAGTAAATGTAGCCAATTCAGAAAGCCATGCTTTAATTCTGTTTGGCTCTTTGTACATTTCAACCTTCAACTGTGACAGAATTGGGTTTTCAAAGCAATACAGAGTAAGAATTAGATTTTACTTATTTTTTTTCAGTTTTTAATTACATAATCATAAAATATAAACAAATTGTTAGTTGTAGGTTGTCACATTTTCATACATAGACACATCAAAAATGCTATAAAAATTATCTTCATGTGCCAAATATGCTTTAAAAAAAGGATAATTGTGTCTAGATTTGATTGCTGTTAGGTAAACACAGATTCAGCCTTAAAATGATGGTAGCCTTATAAGCAAGATCTATGGAAACTAATGTTTTCCAATATATAACCATAAAATAAAACTATATTTATACAAATAGGTTGATTACATATAGAACTGCAAGTTAATTTATTCCACAGATGTGTTATTAAAGATTCTATAAAGAAAATCTATATAGGAAAAAATAATATATAAAATTATATATTTACCTAGCAAAACTTTCAGCTTCACCCCACACCCCTCCCTCATCATCTGCTACCAATGAGTGAATGTTATAGAAACAAGAAAAGTGTTGAAGAAAAATCCAATGATGATCAATCTGCAGAAATATTATGTTGGTTTCCATGGTGATAGTTCTGAGTTTAGAAATTGAACTAAATTTTATTTTGTACGTAGCAAGCACTAAGTCTATTCACTATTCACAGATCCAACGTGATATTATTCCAGCACTAGAAAAAATTTCCTTTAAATAATATATGCTGAAAATGTGACCTAAAATGTACAAAACAAAGTGCTATACTGTATATGTAAAACAATGATCAGGCAGGACATTTCTAACTTATTTGATACATGCAGGTCATGCTACATGTCAAAGATAACTTCTGCTCGTCAGATAGCATAATAATTCCATATCTAAAATTTAGAGCCTACTACATAGACTTTACCATTCATTTAAAATCATTTTTTATATAGTGTATATGTTACCTTACATTAAGGTTTTCAACTCCACCACCAGGATATAGATATAGTTTAATAAATGCTTATCTCTAGTCTTGGATGAACTGGTTTTAAGAATATATTGCAACACTAGACATTGACATAACAAGCAGTGGTTCATTAAAAAGACACTATAGTCACCAAAACAACTTTAGCTTAATGAAGCTGTTTTGCTGTATAGATCATGCCCCGGCAGTCTCACTGCTCAATTCTTTGCAATTTAGGAGTTACATCACTTTGCTTATGCAGCCCTAGCCATACCTCCCTGCATGTGACCTACACAGCCTGACCAAACACTTCCTGTAAAGAGACATCTAATGTTTACACTTCCTTTATTGCAAATTCTGTTAAATTGAGAATTTCTTATATATTGCTTTGTTAATAGCTTGATAGACCCTGCAATAGCATCCTGTATGTGATTTAAGTTCAATTTACAGAAGAGGAGATAAAAATAAATCAAAGTAACTTACATCTGATTGAAAATTAAATCATTTTGTTTTCATGCAGGCTGTGTGAGTCAGAGCCAGGGGAGGTGTGGCTAGGGCTGCATTGACAGTAACAAAAGTGATTTAACTCCTAAATGGAAGATAATTAAGCAGTGAGACTGCGGGGGCAAAACTTATACACCAAAACTGCTTCATTAATGTAAAGTTCTTATTTACTTCTATTTTTTTTACTAGGAGAGCAAAATCTTCAGTATTAGCTCAGCAAACATCAATTAACAAGAAAACCAATTTTTTAAAAAAAAATTTTTAAAACAGTATTTTATTTGAGAAACTTATTAAAATGTCCTCAATATGACAATCACATTATGGTTGAGTATCCAGATGACATATTATATTTGTAGAGCTGTAGAAATGATTATAGAAATACACACACATACAAACACAATACATAAATGATGTGTTTATAAATGAGAAATTGTTTCTAGGGCTTGTTTGTTTGTTTTTTGTAATGTTTATAAAGGTGGAAATATACTGTCAGGGCATTTTAACCATTGTAGCAGAATTTAATCAGGCTTTGAGAATAGCAATAATAAGCAACAGCAGGACTTTTGTACTAAACTTTAAACATTAAGAATAGGCAAACATAATCATAAAAGTGATTTGTATATCAAAACGGTCTCAATAACGATTGTTCCTAATTTGGCTTTTACTACCAAGAATCGACCAAGACATCAATATGTCTCTTACCTAGAGAGATAGTAATGAAAAGTACACATAGAAAATAAAATTTATTATTGGGGAGAAGTGGCATGTACTAAAACGAATCACAAAAAAACAGAATTTTTGTATTTATTTTTTTTGCTCGTTATTATTTCAACTTTTTAAAGTTGCATTCATTGGCTGAGAGAGGTTAACCAACACTCTTAGCTAATAATAAATGGCCATCGTGATAGACTCCTGTATTGTGCAGCTCAGCAGAAGTTGGATGCCATCTCTAAAGGACCCTTAGCCCCTGGTGGGGACCAATGTAAGATGTTAAACCATTGCAAAACTGTTTTCCCTGTTACTGAGAAACAGGAACATGGTACTATTGGCATCGTAACCACTACGGAAGGCTGTAGTGGTTATGATGCTTGGACTTTTCCTTTAACGTTTTATTCAAACAAACATCTAAACCTATTTGGAATACCGCTAAATACTACTAAATAAACCTAAATACTATATTCAGCCACTGAAGGTCATAACGCCTCATTCTATCAAACTCATGGATGCCAGTGTTATTTTACTTTTCATTTCAGAACAAAATTTAGCCTTCAGACAGTAAAAAAAAAGGGACCTGACTGTAAAGAAAAAAAAAATATGTCAGAATTATCTTAATTTTGTAATTAAACAGCTCTGTAAAAAGGTCTCTTCCCTCCCTCTGCCAAGATGCCAAGGAAGGGATGCCATGTCATTACAGGACATGAATTATACACAAGGAGGTGGAATAAATAGATGGTATGATAAGACCATTGTGTACTTTTAGACCCAAATGAATACCACTGAGATCTATAATGTTGTAGGGCTACTATGGGTGAGGTGAGAGGGACAGCATAACATAATTATGTAGACAGTTTCAGAAGGTAAATGTAATGTTTGCAAGACATAAACATAGGCTTTGTAAAATAGCACATAATTGTATTTTTTTTTCTTACAACCTTTTGATGATTCTATGATTTAATTTAATTTTTACACAAGCCAAACGTGTTTCCTTGGTTCCTTTTTATCAATACGAATATTCAAATTCCAATCCAGGTGCTAACTTTCATTGCTTTATAGCTGGTGCATATCGAATAGCATTTTTCATACTTAACAAACAGATCACAAAATAAAAATGATAAGCACAACTTTAGAACAATTTGTGACATTGCAGTGGCTTTGTACAAATAAATGCTCATTGAAAATTTGGTGTCCTTGTCACCTCGCCTGTATGTCATAATTCCAATTTGAAATCCGCAATTATTCTCTTGCAATATGTATTTATATTAGCCTTTCAAATTCAGTAGAGAACATAATACATGTTAAATATGCCCAAATGTTTCATATATATTTTTTTCAATTCTTTATTAATTTCTCCAACCACATTAAGCCATATACAGTGCAGTATCCCAGATTAACATATCGCAGCATTAAGATGTCCCTTATGTATTTAACTTGAGTACAGTATAGGAACTTGAAACCTTGAATTCTCATTTTATATATTTCTATGAGCAGACATTTTTCTAGGACACATTGTTTGAAGACTGGCCTTTGGAATGGTTAAGGGACCACTGCACATGGGATTAAGTCGCTCCTGTTTTAACTGGGTCAATTACCCATTATGGCAACCTTTTGGAATATAAATATTATTATTATTTTTTTTACAAAGTATCAGCAGGTTTCAACCTGTTATACAATAAAAGGGTCACAAACAAAGTGATATATAAGTAACATTGCATTAAATATCATAAATTATAAAACAATGCATACTGGCACAGAACAAACTGGGGGTTATGATAGATTGAGCTATAGTCTAGTGTTCAGTACATATAGCATTAAATGGGGTCAGATTATTTGACGAAAAGTATTGAACTATCTGATAATATTTTACCTGATCATTTTTGCTAATTCGTAATATAAACACAACATTAAGTCAAGCTCTCAAGTCTTTGTTAAATTGTTAAAATGTGTCAATAATTAAAGAAACAGATAAAAAATGTATTCAGCATTATTATATATTTTTTGCACTTTTTCTATTACACTATTACTATCAGTTCTTTGCTTTTATATTGCATTGCTACATTACGTTACAGTGGGAGTATTAATGCCTACATGCTATTTCTCCTCCTAAGCATTAGATATGTTTGCCCTCACAGCAGAAGTCCTGTGTTTGCCATCAATGCACCAATAATTTAATTGCTGATAGCAGGTTTTGGAATGCTTGTGTAACGCGGCCAATTCAATTTCATCATCTTTTCTTATGAATGTTTTTGCAACTTCTAGTTTTGGCATTCTTTTTTAAGAGAACAATGCATTCTTTGTAACCAGTAATGCCACTAATGCATGCTACAGTCCCTTCATTTAATATAATGAAGACACCACTGGTCTAGTTGTTGCTACACTAACATTATCTGCACTGCAGTACTACAAACTAATAATTGTGCCAGTGTCCTAGACAATCATGTGGGCGGAATTCCCTAACTCCCTTACCACTTACAGTAATACAGGAGCATCCTTAAACTGAATTAAACATTAAACTGAATGATGGGCTAGGTTCCTCCTGCTTTGGTACTCTCTGTTTATATTTGAAATATATGTAGATTTGAGATACTCAACCATTTAATTAGAAGGAGAACTTTGACTATTGACAGATCAGTCAGTTAGAGCATTCTATTTTTCCTCTTTGACTATAGAGAGATCAGTCTGTTAGAGCTTTCTAGCTTTTCCTCTTTGACTATTGACAGATCAGTCAGTTAGAGCATTCTAGCTTTTCCTCTTTGATGTAGTCTTCACTGCTCAAGTTGCGGGTACTAGGCAGAACAATTAAAGCATATAACAAGTCATGATAACTGCCCATTACTATGTGTTTTGGATCCAACTCCTGATAATGTATATGTATGTATGCTTAAAAGATTGTTAATTCGAGCTAACGCCACTACGCCTAATAGTGGTTTTGTTACTACATTTCCATAAAGCTGTATATGTAAAGAAACCAACATCAAGTTTATCATAAATATACCACATCAAGTTTATTATAAATATACCAAATCTGTACACCAGTGAGAAGGTTCTATCTGATTGAAGCGGAAGATAAGATGATTGGTTCAAATAATCATGGATGGAGGTGTGAAAGAAGGGAGATGATTTAGCTAAACATGTCATCTCCTGCTACTACATTTCTCAACAAATGGGTTTTTAATTCTAAAATCAAATCACTCTAATAGAAATATACTTTAAAAAGGAAAAATGAAGCATAAATAGGAAGAGTTAGTGTTGATAATAAGTCCACAAAATTCGAGTTAGCTGGTAAAAATGGTAAACATTTAGATAAAAATTAACAATCAATTTTGATATTTGCTACTATAAAAAAATTCTGGGAGTGTCATCATTATTAATAATGATATTAATAAATTAATAGGTTATTTTGAATCAGTACTATCATTAATCTAGCTGATGGTAAACAGTTTGCAGAGCTACTGACACTATTTAACATATTCTGATTTAATTTATTTGAATCCGAAATTATTCCAATGTGTTAAAAAAATATTTTCGAATGATTTATCTACACAAGTGACTATTGGAGTCTGGTAATTTTTGTAAATAAATAATTTGATGTTTTTTTACGTTTTTTTAAAGTTATAACTAACATTTTGGAATCATTTCTGATGCTGATTAACACAAACTAAATGAGACCTATATGTCACAGTTCAATAATTGCATTTGCATCTGTGTACACATGTTTTTTTGCACCTGAATTGAATTGAACCTATTATCGAGGGGAAAGACATAAACACATGCAAAAAAATATAAAAAATATCATGTTGACTTTGACTAAATGGGGTCTGTTCAATAAACCATCATTTATGCTAACTTCACTCTTGAAAGATTTGTCGGGCATCCATAGTGAGCTGTAACAATCTTGCTTTTGGCAATCAAACTCACCATAGGAGAACTTGTTTTGTTCGGAGGTAAGACTACAGAGTGATAAAAAACACATTTTAATGCTGTGAAACAGAACACAATAATTAAATTATGCACAACTAACGAAGCATGGACTAGTAGAACTCTTAAAAAGAGACTTGACGTAGCGTATGCCAAGTTCTACCCAACCTGAGCGATATTGTGGCCAAGTAACTGAATGCTCAGTGAACAATTTTCTTAATTCGTTAAAGACTATGGCTGACCTTTATCCAGTACGTGTTTGTACTCAGCTTGTGTTCAAACACATTGACTGCCACATCTTTCAAAACGGTGGTTTCCAACCAAGTCTCTCATGCACATCAACAGTCAAGAATTTAGGTGTTTCCATTTCTATCCCAGTGGGTATTTCCAATTCTTTCAAAGTCTATATTTCCAATTCTGTTCCATTGGAATGCTGCTGTGCCTCGTGACTTGATTAGAAACCACATCTCTGAAATGCTCCAGGAATATGACCATAAAAAGGGAGTTTTGAAACTTTCGACCCAAATATACGTAGTTTTTACCCATTGTGACTGTAGATTTCAAAAGTAAGCTGTCTCCTCGGATGCAGCCAAAACAGAATATTTGCATTTTACTACTTACACAAACACTGCATAATATTATTTGGTGCTCAGCTGTTACATAAGATGAAGATATAAAAATCTAAGTAGACACTGCAATAAAAAAAAATCTCATCTTATGCACGGAATCATTGCGATCTCATCCCAACTGCAGTAATAGTGATGCTTTTGAAATGATTCCCTGTGACAGTCTAGTGAATATGCTTGCTCAAAGTGTTGCTTAGCTATTAGAATCTATATCTATCATAAGCTTATCGATCAATTAAAACAGATTGATTCTCTATTTCCTCTCATAACTTATACTGTGACAAAGAAACCTGTCTATTGAGATAAAGAAAGGTAACGTGTTGTGGGTAATGAATTTGTGTTTATTGGGTGTCAATGTTACGTCTTAATAATAAACTATCACAATGGATAGGCTAGCATGTCTAATACGCCAAATGTAGACATACCATACATAACATAATATATAAAAAAAACATATCTGTCTAGAATGCCAGCATACCGGGTGGTATTTATTACTAGAAATCATTATGTATATGTTTAAAATGATGGTGCCAATTTTACAAAACCATGTATGTGAGCTATAAAGTGCTTGTAATTTATTTCGCAAGTAACTACTGTATTAATGACAACAAAAACGAAAAACATTGTTTCTAAACAATTTGTGAATATTCGTTCTTTTTTTATGTCGTTGCTGCTTCTAATAAATACAATAGAGAATGTATTGTTTTATTTTGACGTAAACTGATCATGTTTTTTTTTCATAAGATGTACAATTTGCTTAATTTAGCTTTGTATCTGTAAAAAAATTTTAATTTATTTTAAAAAAAAATCAAAAATTTAAAGATGATGCTTGTTTTTTTTGTTTTGTTTTTTTCCCAGTTAATCTTATGTTATACTGGTGTTTATTGTGTCGGGTACTTTTTTGAACATTATTAAAAATCTGTGATATAACTCAAGCTATTTTTTATTCATTTGTAGATAAGGCCACTTTATTTTTTATAATGTAATGACATGGTTATTATTGATAAACTCAGTAAGGGATGAAGAAGAAGACACTATAATAGAAAGATTCTGGAGCCATGCAATCTCACCCCATTATAATGAAATATACATAACATGAAAAGTAAAGTACTGCTATCTATATTTATATTACTTTGCCAAAGAAGGAAAGTAGACTTGTGATTCAACCATCCCATTTCCTCTACCAGTCTGGTATCACTGGATTAATGTGAAATATAGCATTGTTAAAGTCTCCAGAAGGACATACATTAAAGAGAGTATTTAGAACAGAAATGTTGGTGCATGCTATACAAGATACAGTACAATGTATCATGAAGAGGTAAGATAGCTCAATATCTACAGTTTGGAGTAATATAAAAAAGTAGTCTGATTATATTATGGAAGAATTAAAGTACCTGAATACGTTCAGCAAGATACAGGAAAGAAATATGTCACCAGTAGCGGGATTTGTGCTTCCAATTATCATCTACTGTTTGCAAATGGTCAAGTATGGAAAGAATACAGACTTAAAAAGTAACACCAGACTGAAAATGAGTCACATTTTTTATTAATTGTATATATAATTAATTCAAATAAGCAAAAAAAAAAGTTAAATAAACAAATAAATAAATAATAATAATAATAATAATAATATTCACCTTTCAGCTTCCTGTAGCTTACTGGTGCAAATCCAAGGACAAAGAGCAGCAGAGAGTCCCTCTCAAACCTAGACAAGACTGAACCAATTTAGGCTTATAGGCTAGTACAGTTTAGCCCCAGTAGCAGTTCACATCATCAGGTATAATGAGTGGATGTGCAGAGATATCATTCATTGCATTGTGACAACATTTGTCCATACGGCTAATCAGACATGAGCACAAAAGCCACTCGGGCTCTAGCACAGATCTACTAATGAAGTTGAACATTATGCCTGTGAGTAATAGTCATTGATGGGCTCCTGGGCTATCTGATCACTATGGCAGTCAATCATTGCGATGACATGCCTTAGCTGATGGTTGAGTTTGGAAGGGATAGTTAAGGTTTAGCAAAGTTTGGGATACGTGTTGGTTGGGTTTAGATTGGGCTGAGTTCAATTACTGTTAGATAGGATACAAATTGTATCACAGTTTGATGCTGGTCTGTGTGGTAGCACAAATAGTGTCATTTCACCAGAGTCTCTGAGATGCATATAAAGAGGCCTGTAAATGTTAGGGCATGTCTGTATTTAGACTCTATAAGCTCCACAAACACCAGGCAAAAGGTTAAATTTATTTCTGTACTTAAAAGATGTAGCATAATACATTTTGGGATTCTCCAAAGTAGTCCCACAATGTAAAATACAAAAAGATATGGAAGGGCTGCGCCAAATAAGGGTAGATAGTCCAGTAAAGTATTGCTAGGGTGCCAATAGATGGTCTAGGATACTTGATAGAGTTCCTCTGTGGATGCGTCTGGTGTAGACCGTTCCGTATATGTAAATACAAGAGAGGTAGAGGCGACTAATGGTATAGTATGAAAGTTCAGGGTGTGATAGGTAACAAAAAGTAAAGAACTCACATTCAAGAGAGCTATGGCCAGCTCTGGTGTGGATTGCGTACAGCGGTATAATCCCCGCTTATGGGATATGTAGGGAGGGGGTCTCCGTCAACACCGTCTGGTAGTCCAGAACTCGGAAAAGAAAGACAGAAAGCAACAATAGTGCTCTCAATTTTGATGTGGTTCAATGTGCAGATAAGAAGAGGTAAAAAACTCACATTTGAGGGAGCTATGGCCAGCTCTGGTGTGGATAGCGTACAGCGGTATAATCCCCGCTTATAGGATATGTAGCGGCGATACGTCCGTCAGCACCGTCTGGTGATCCAAGGCTCCAATATAGAAGAATAAAAGCAGCAATAGTGCTCTCAATTGTGATAGGTTAAGAGAGTAGTAGAGAAAATAAAATAATACTCACAAAGATAGAGCAGAGGTACTGCTCTATGGATAGGCGCGGTGGTATGATCCCCACCTAGGATTTCTTGGAGTACTGGAACTTTAAAATTGCCAGTGGAAGTAAAAGTAACCAGGAAAGGTTAAAATGCCAGGAATAGGTAAAAAAAGTTGTTTAAAGTGCATAAAGAGTGCAATAAAAAGAGGATTGGTACAATAAAGTAGCCAAAAAACTTTTATTGATCTAAAATACACAGTAAAATACAGAATTAATAACCATAAACGCGTTTCACCATAAGTGGCTTCTTCAGAATGGGATCACCATAAGTGGCTTCTTCAGAATGGGAAAATGTAAAATGCACGTGAAAAAAATAATGCTACATTCAATTGGAATTGTTGATAAAACAGTCAAGACCTGAAAATGTCCTATATTAAATAGTTAAGGTTGTATTATTATTATTACTTTATTTCATTTGAAAATAATGTGCCATGATCGGAGTAAAGGGCAGGTGATGATTGCTATGTTGTTCCAAAAGGGCCCAGTACCTCTGTTATCAATGTCTGTCACAATGTTGCTTATTTGACCCTAAAATATCTATACAAAAAAATGTGCTCTAGAGGGCAGGTTTTGCTGTACACAGGAGAAAGGAACAGAATATAAATTTTGGGTCAAAACAGTAGAAAATGAAAAAAAGTAAAAAGCAGATTTGGCATAAATTTGTGATACAATAGTTAAATAGAAAGAGGAAAAATGCTTTGGGTGTTTTCTTTCTACAAATATACACTTTTGTATTTTTTTTGTTTCTTTTAATTGCACCCATGCATATTATATATTGTGTTTTAAAGGAAATAAATGCATTTCTTTTATTAATCTATATATACACCTAACACAAGAATAAAATGTAAAACTGGGGGGTAAATGAAGAAATACATTTTTTATTTTTTTTTACTTATAACAAAATTTATACGTCAAGTGCAACTAAAGAAAAATAACTCAAAATAGATTCACATATTACCTTTGATTATTAAATGCCTCATATGTCTAGCATCTAAATTAAATTTTGCAGTTAACGCTAACCCTACACAACCCTATCTCTAACCCTACACCAACCCTATGCTTACACTAACTCTAACCATAGACCTAGCCTAACCGTACACCTAACTCTAACCTAACATTATCCCTTATCATAACAGCTAAAACTCTTACTCAGCTTTAACTCTGCATCTATTCACTGTTAGTACTCGCACCTTTGACATTTGCTTTCAAGCCTACAGGGCTGCACCCTTTCCTGCTCTGTTATGCTCTCACCCAGTCTCAGTTCTTTCAAAAGATCATTAAAAACTCACTTCTTTAGAAAAGCATATCAATTAAACTGTTAATAGATTTCCCTTGGTAACCCACCCTGCTTCCTCTCTTGCAACTGTATCATCCAATTAATGAACCCTTCATTGTAAAGTATGCTAGCAACCTATGCATGAAATACATCCTAACCTTGCCTCTTGTGCCACTTTACCCCACTCCCTCTAGACTGTAAGCTTGTTTGAGCAGCACCCTCAACACCCTCTGTTCATCTGTTCATCTTGTTGCAAATAGTCTACCTATTGTACAGCGCTATGGAATTTGTTGGCACTTTAAAAATAATAATAACTCTTACAACACACCAACACTAATCCTAACATTAAAGGAACACTATAGGGTAAGAAATATAAATGTGTATTCCCGACCCTATAGTGTTAAAAACACTAGTTAGGGTGCTGGCCCCCCTGTCCCTTCTTCTAAAAGCTAGAAAATGTACTTTTATGCCAGCACCACATGGGTCCGCCGGTGCTGGTCATGTCCCTGATCCGCCTCTTTGGCTGACGTCACCAGAACTGATGATCTCAGCCAATCACAATGCTTTCCCAGTGCTCTGGCCAATAAGCATTTCCATATAGAGATGCATTGAATCAACGCATCTCTATGGGGAAAGTTCAGCATCTCCATGCAGAGGGTGGAGACACTAAACATCAGTGCTGCACACTTTACCACACTGACCCAAGAAGCACCTCTAATGGCTGTTGGGGAGGTGGTCACTGGAGGTTCCCCTAGGCTGCAATGTAAACACTGCCTTTTCTCTGATAAAGCAGTATTTACATTACAAAGCCTGCAGGGATTGACTATACTCACCAGAACAACTACATTAAGCTGTAGTTGTTCTGGTGATTATAGTGTCCATTTAACCCTAACCATAACTCAGAGGGATTCACTCTGCTGACATCAGTGCTAGTATCAGCAGAGGGATTTCTCAGCTTACACAGTACAGAGCCCTCTGTGAGCATTCTTTAATAGGTGGTTGCAGCATGAGAGGGATATCTCAGATCACAGTCTGCAGGGAGACACTGTCAGGGGCTTTTCAGACCTTTTACTCCTTGCAATATATTCTATAGCTTAAAAAAAAATTAACTGAAATCCAAGGGGCGTTTTAATAATTATTCTCCTTTGAGTTATTTTTCATTAATTGCATTTGTTGTGTAAATATTCTACCAAAATAGTAAAAATATATGTTTAATTATTTTATTTATACTCAGTGTTGTGTTTTGTGTACGTATAGAGTATCGAAAGAAAACTATATGTCATTTACGAAACAATATATTATATGTATGTGTGCACTAAAGTGAAATCATTAAATCACATTTCAAAAGTGCCAAAAAACCTTGCTCAGAAAAGATGTGGGATTGTCCTACTTAAGATACAAAACTTGAGTGATGTTTAGTAGACAGCTCCCCTAATTTGGTACCCTGATGGGGGATATCCCTACTTAGGGAACCAAATTAGGGCACTGTTTAACAGACAGCTGCCGTAATTTGGTAGTATTGCCCTAGTTAGGATACCAAATCAGGGAGCTATTGAGTAGACAGCTCCCCTAGTTTGGTTCCCTGATGTGTGATTGCCCTACTTAGAATACCAAATTTGGCATGGTTTAGTAGACAGCTTCCCTGTAGTGGGATTGCACCAAATTAGAAAACCAAATTAGAGTGCTAGTAAGTAGGGTGCACACCATCACATACACTGTCATTTACCCATACATGCACACAGTCATAATACAAGTTACTTTACCCATGCATGTACAAAAATGTACATTTATTTGCCAATGCATACACGCAGTAATATCCAATTTAATTTTATCGATACGTGCACAGTTATTTGCCCAAACACACCACACAGTCATATACACTGTCACTTACCTATGTGTGCAGTGTAGTTCCCTAGTTTGGCATCCTAAATAGGGCAATCCCACATCAGGGTACCAGATTAGGGGAGCTATCTACTACACAGTGCCCTCATTTTATATCCCAAATAGTGATATCACATGATAAAATACCAAACTAGGTAGTTATCTACTATCTATAGCAGAAATAGTAATATTTAGAAAAACACTTTCTTACATTTTCTCTCTCACTTGCTGAGTAGTTAAGTTCCTTAATTATCCTAATCCCACGTAAGGATTCCAAATGTGGTAGCTATCTCCTAAAGAGCTGAAAAAAAGTATTTTTTCTTAATTTTACTGTTTCAGTTGCTTAAAGAACATGTATTCCTGACACTCTAGATCTAAATAGCTGTTTAGGCCCCCAGCCACCCCTTGCCTGTAGTTACAAAGGTGGTTTTACTCACCTTTATCCTGCGTTGCATGGGGCCAGTCGTGGCTGACCACGCCCACATTCCGCACCCTTGACTTAGATCGTCAAACTTGATACTCTCAATCAATCCAATGCTTTCCCATAGGAGAGCATTGGGAGGCTATCGCACATGCTCGGTAAAATGTAGCACTGCGCCAGTCAGTATCTCCTCACTGATTTAAAGCATCTCTTTGAGGAACGTTCAGTGCCTCCTTGCAGAGCGTGGAGATGTTAAATGTCAGTGCTAACCCAGGAAGCAACTCTAGTGACCGTCTAAGTGGGGGCCACCTAGGCAGTAATGTAAACACTGCCTTTTCTCTGAATGCTATACTCACCAGAAAAATACATGAAGCTGTCCTGATGTGTATAGTGTGGCTTTAATTGTGAAGTCCATCATTTCCTATGCTTATGAAAACAAATGGATCTGATAATGATAGGATAAACAGAAAACATTCATTTGCGTTAATTTTGCATGCTGAAGACTTTGTCGGTTCGTCCGGTATTTGTTAAATATTTCAGCCGTGACTATTGCTGATTTTCTTCAAATTAACTGCGTTTTCCCTAATTTTGTAATTCAGATTTCAACTTGTTATAAAATTCTAAACTAAAGTGTAAAAAGTTTAAAAAGAGACAACAATCCATATACACTGGTGTCTGTGTATGTAATGGGTTATTGGTTTAATAGCCAGGAGAACTGTGTTTGTCTGGGCACCAGATATCTAACTGAGCTAAAAGTAGAAAAAAAAATGGCAAAGCATCATGCTATACTGACATTATCTTTTCTGAATACATTCTAGAAAAAAAAAAGACAAAAATCAATATCTCAAGAAAAAAAAGTAAAAGGGAGAACATTATACTATTTGGCAAAGAGTAGAGAAAAAAAAGAATACATTTCAAACAAACCTCACAAAATAAAGGAATGCATATCTCCATGGGTACAGTGTTTCTGTATATCTGATTAAAAAATATATTTAAAAAAACATGGAGGGAGATTTATCAACATGATCTGAAAAGCATCCTTTATTGCCTAAATTCCACCATTTTCCACAGCAAGATCCATTTTAAAAAGCCTGTCAAATTAGAGTGAAACAGAACAATTCTTCGATGGAAAAAGTGACAGAAAGACCAATAAGTCTCTTGCATCGATGCAAAAAAATGTGTATATTCAAACATGACTTTCAGGGCAAATAAGAAGCAACAGATGATAAAACAAACATAGTTTATAAATTACACCACAAAAATACCCCAACAAAACATAAAACTGTCTGAGACACTTTGATAAATCTTCACTTTAGTGAACAAAAACAAAGCCCATTTGAAATCTGTAGGATTTCAACTCCCATAATTCTATGACAGTTCATGCGTGGCTGAGAAGAATGTGAGTCAATGTCCAGCAGCATCCTGGGAAGACACCATGTGACACCTTTTAGTAAGTATGGCTGTAATCCATGGATTATAATATTCACCATGCTATGATTTTCTGATCTTCTTTAAAGAACGTTTCACTCTGCTGAAATTTCCTTTCTTCAGTACTCAAAGGGCGACCTTGTCATGGAACACATCCATATCGATTTAGAAAATAATAGTGAAATGTACACTGCAATCCTTGACTTTGCGCTTATTAAAAACAATTAAACTAAAATAATTGGCACAAGCTATAAATCTTTGATGATTTTAGAATCAACGAGCAGGCAACTCAAATTGTGTTACCAGAAAATCTTTAGAGGGACCTAATGCAAAAATAATACCTTATTAATTTAGCATATTTGCATTTATGTATTTATTCTAATGTTTTATTATGTTGCATTTGAGGAGCCACACTCATTAATTTCACATGAATATAATTAGAAAGAAACTTTGCATGAACTACTACCATCTTACTTAGGAATTAACCAGTTAATTCTCTAGTGAAGTTGATTTTTAATTATTTTATAATTTCGTTTGTTTTATAATCTCTCAAAACATTACATTATATTGTTTTAAAATACTAAAAATCTGTTTATATAAAGCGTTTCTCCTTAAGGTAACCGAAACTCACTTTTGAATTAGTATCTGTTAAAGCGGCACTTTTACCGCTCCTAAAATATGAGTATTTCATAAAAATAGAATCTTTACGAAATACTCAAATTGACTGTGTTTGGATTTCACTAAAATTTCAACCCAGTCAAATGAAATAAAGAGACAAAATAGGGCCTACTTTGTCTCTATATATTTCTTTGCCTGACTTTCCTAGAATCTGGGCAGAGCTATGGTGTCAGTCCCGACAGCCAAGGCCAGTGATGGCTATCAGATTTACCTCTGTCTATGGAGCATCCTACGGTCTCGCGGGATCCTCCATAGACCCAGATGCTGTACTCTTGTGCATGTGCGAGTGACAACTGCTGAAGCACCACGAGCTGAAGAGGACCCGCCAGGAAAAAAGATGGTCACACCCACAAGGGACAGGTTCAGGTAAGTAAATCTCACTTTTACCTGCCCCCCAACCCCAGCCACTGGGTCAACTCAATAGTATATGTTTATGCAACTAGCAAGGGTAAACATAACAGTTGTAAGCTGTTGCAATTAACAGTTAGCAGCGGCTTAGTCATTACTTTTTACCAGTTGGCCACCAATAATGACTGCTTGCAATATTACGACCAGTCGCAGCTTAGCTACTCACTAGTAAAGCACAGCACAGAAACACCTTGCTGGTTCAAAAGTGCTCTCCCGTGCATACATACGTCCATAGGCGTGCGCACGGGGTGTGCCGGGTGTGCCTGGGCACACCCTAATCCCCGTGGCACGCCTATGGTTTGAGTCCTGCAGGAACAGCGTTCCTGCAGGCACTCAGTGCCCCCTGTTTCACCTCTTGCCCCTGTCATGGGAGGGCAAGAGGTGATGATTCCACCCACCCGCAGTTCAGCCGCGGCGAGGGAGTTCTCTGCTGTCTGCTCCCTCTCGCCGCGCGCTGATGCCGGGAGCCGGAATATGACGTCATATTCCGGCTCCCAGCTGCAGCAGACAGCCCGCGCGGCGAGAGGGAGCAGAGCAGAGAGCTCCCTCGCCGCGGCTGAACTGCGGAAAGGCGCCCGCCCCCACTGGACCCCAGGGAAAAGTCCACCAGCACTCCAGGTAGGAGGCTGGGTGGACATTTTTTTTTTAAATTAAAATATAATAATTGTGTGTGTGTGTGTCAGTGTGTCTGTGAGTGTGTGAGTATGTGTCAGTGTGAGTGTGTGAGTATGTCAGTGTGAGTGTGTGTCTGAGTGTGTGAGTATGTCAGTGTGAGTGTGTGTCTGTGAGTGTGTGAGTATGTCAGTGTGAGTGTGTGTCTGAGTGTGTGAGTATGTCAGTGTGAGTGTGTGTCTGTGAGTGTGTGAGTATGTCAGTGTGAGTGTGTGAGTATGTGTCAGTGTGAGTGTGTGTCTGTGAGTGTGTGAGTATGTCTCTGTGAGTGTGTGAGTATGTGTCAGTGTGTGTTTCTGTGAGTGTGTGAGTATGTGTCAGTGTGTGTTTCTGTGAGTGTGTGAGTATGTGTCAGTGTGAGTGTGTGTCTGTGAGTATGTGTCAGTGTGTGTTTCTGTGAGTGTGTGAGTATGTGTCAGTGTGAGTGTGTGTCTGTGAGTATGTGTCAGTGTGTGTTTCTGTGAGTGTGTGAGTATGTGTCAGTGTGAGTGTGTGTCTGTGAGTGTGTGAGTATGTGTCAGTGTGTCTGAGTGTGTGAGTATGTGTCAGTGTGTGTGTGTCTGTGAGTGTGTGAGTATGTGTCAGTGTGAGTGTGTGTGTGTCTGTGAGTGTGTGTGT